GGTCCTATCGCAATGCTCCCTCTCCCGGGGAACCGGTCAACTCTCGTCTGGTCTACAACGCCCTCGAACGCCGCATTGCTGAAGAGCCTCCCGGCAAAGGATTTTATCGCCCTCGTCAATGCAGCCTTCCGCCTCAGCCCAGTGGATTTGCAGTTTATGCACACAATGAACTCAGGGCATGATGATGAGCTAGCTTGGAGATTACAACACACGCACTTTGCTGCCCAGGCCATTCCACAGAGGGTCATCGGCGTACAGGAAGGCACCATCGCATCCTTCCCCTTGAAGATGCGCCACGCAGATACCTATATCGGCGAGCGCGTGGCGCTGGTGGGCGATGCTGCACACACAGTTCACCCGCTCGCAGGCCAAGGTCTCAACCAAGGACAAGGCGACGTCGAGAGTCTGGCCAAGACAATCGACTACGCCGTGTCACACGGGCAGGATATAGGCACACGCATGTCTTTAGAATCATACAACTCAGAGCGATACGCCGCGAATCACGTGTTGCTTGGTGTTGTCGACAAGCTGCATAAGTTGTATTCGGTGGAAAGCGGGCCTCTTGTTCCCCTGAGATCATGGGGTCTGAATGCTGTCAACGCGATGGGGCCTCTCAAAGGGTTCTTTATGCAGCAGGCTGCTGGGAACGGCATCAAATTGTTCTAAAAGAGTGAACTAATTGTGTATATATGTAGGTATATTGTTTGTAGCATATGTATCATGAAATTGTACAGGTATGGGGTGGCCCACGAGAATTCTACGAGAATGCTGATGGTAGCGGATAATCATAGGCCGCATTTGAGAACAACAACCGTATGGTTCATCACCCTGTTCCTGTATTGGGGGCTTCCCTATCAAATTCCTCGTCTGCAGGCACTTCAGGAAAAGCAGAGGAGTAGTTTGGGAAGCCCTCGATGTCGTGCCGTCATGGCGAAGTTCTGCTTGCATTACACAACTTGTGGGTTCATCAAACAAGAGCACAAGCGGTTAATGACAGGAATATGAACATGACGCCTCCTACAGGATCTTCACCGCCTCTTCAGTTCCAATTCGACTGTTTGTTCTTCTCCATTTCTGTGCTTGTACTTGCACATGCACACGCACGTGGTATGCCTACATGTATGGCTTGGAGCTAGTGGGGTGTGTTGATCAATACGGTGGGGGTAGAGTGTCAATAGTAAATCCATCCATCTCATTCTTATCGATAACATGACCCCTTCAACTTTTTTTCCTCTATCATCATCGTCCTCCATTCACCCCACCATCCAGACTTGGATACAGTTACAGTCGGTCACCAAAGATTATGGCTCCTTCTTCGGGACGACGGGCGCCGAGCGCGGCAGAGCTCGAGGAACGCAATGTACGATTCCTCAATTACCGACTTATCAAAGCCTGAACTAACGTTTTTACTAGACTATTCACATCAACAAGGAAACAGTGGCGAACACCGTCTCAGACGCCTATCCCGATAACTATGCAAACGAAGACCACGCCTGGGACAAGGAGGACTTCCGCCGCACATTCAAGGTCCAATGGCACCAAAACGACCAATTCGAGGCCCAATTCTCCCTCATTGGCGTCGACGCCTCCATCGCCAACGCCTTCCGCCGGATAATGATCGCCGAGATCCCTAGCCTTGCTATTGAGACCGTCTTTGTTAATAACAACACCTCGGTGATCCAAGACGAGGTCCTCGCCCACAGGCTTGGCCTCATCCCTTTCACGGGCGGCAAGAAAGGTCTGCGCGAATTCATGGGATTCTGGCGCAAACCCGGTCCGGACGAGGACACGTACGCGACCACTTTCGACACGAACACAGTGAGCCTGAAGCTCGCCGCAAAATGCACGCATAACAAGGACGCGCCGAAGGATGCCAGGGACCCGAAGGTGCTATACCACAATGCGCACATCTACGCGCGGGACATCGTCTTTGAGCCCCTCGGCGGCCAAGCAAAGTGGTTCTCGGGCGAGGACGAGATCCGCCCCGTTAACCCAGATATCCTGGTCGCGAAGCTCCGTCCTGGTCAGGAACTCGATATCGAAATGCACATGCACAAGGGCTTCGGCTGGGACCACGCCAAGTACTCGCCCGTTGCTACCGCAAGCTACAGACTCATGCCAACGATTACGATCCTGCAGCCGATCCTGGGTGCTGATGCCGAGAAATTTGCCAACTGCTTCATTCCGGGTGTTGTTGGACTCGAAAAAGTAACGAGGCAAGAAGCAAAGAAGCAGGGAAGCGGATACGAGGGCCATGAGGGCGAGCTGAAGGCTGTGGTCAAGGACCCAATGCGGGATACCGTCAGTCGGGAAGTATTACGGCATCCGGAGTTCGAAGGTAAAGTCAAGCTCGGCCGCAGGAAGGACCACTTCATCTTCTCGATTGAGAGCGCGGGGCAGTGGGATAGCGACGAGTTGTTCATCGAGGCTGTCAAGACGCTCAAGAAGAAGTGTGGCGTCCTAAGGCCACAGGTCACAAATATGGTGCAGACTTTCTAGGGGGTACTTGAACATTTGCATTGCACTCTCTAAGTTTAGTGGACTTATAGAGGTGTTTGGTCATCGTTTGATGTGATGAGTGGACCGATAAACGAGGGTGAGAGGGGCATATGTAAATATCTGTTTGCGTGCATGTGCGGACGGAGTTCTGCTACAGTATAGGCAGGCGTTTCTCGGGTTGATCAAAATAGGAGTTTGCTTTATTTGCTTCAACATTGGAAGTAACATATTCCTACTTGGTTTTCTTTTCAAGATAACACGTACCTACATATGCCTTAGCTTTATTGGTGGCTTGCTAGAACTCAGGTCGAGAGTTTATATGCTGCTTCCTGTTCGAAAGACATAGGTAATATGGTCAAGCCCGTCAGTACCTAGGTACCTCGGTATCGTAATGCTAAGAATCAACGCAACATAGTCCTTCTCCCCCCTCCATAAAAGAAACCTAAGCAGCCACCAAATTTAGCTTTTTTTTCTTTCTGTGATACATCTATTTCTGATCTTTAGAAATTTGTGATTTGTGATTTGGTATAGCCTACTTCAATTGCTTACATGATGTGTCGTGTGTCCAGGCTTGATATGGCAAGGTTATAATTATTATCTACTGGGAATCTAAATATCATGTTACTTGTGGCAAAGCGAAATATGAATTTGCGTCAAGGGGGGGATGCTTAGGACGTGTACCATGGCGCAACATAAGGCGATAGCGAGCGGAGAAGGCTGAAACTCTTCTAACCTACCTAGACAAAGGGCTTTCTTGGGTGGTGTTTAAGAAGATAGACTAGGTGGGGAGGCTTCCTTGCTACATAACTAGCAGGCTTGCTTTCCATGTAGAGACTGGTTTTCGGCAGATGGTAGGGTATTTATTGTTTGGGGAAAAGGGTTTGCTATGGGGGTTGTTATTATTGAAGGTAGTAGTAGCTACTTACATAGTAAAGGGGTCGAGTTGAAGATATCCATCCGAAGTAATCTTGTATGGACATGGGAGGTTAGTAATAGATCTGTTTAGTTAGGCCAGGCAAGGCAAGTTACGGCAAGGCAATGAAAGCCTCTTCCAAATACAGGTACTCAGTGATATAATAGTGCTGCTAGCAACCGAGTGTTTCCCGGTTGTTCTGTCTAATGCTGGTGGTGCCTAGCAACGGTTCCCCTTATGGTACAGGAGGTACGTACTCCTTATTATCTCTGCCTTCAACATTAGGTATGTAGGCAGGGTTATAATTTAAAAGAAAGGGGTGTTCTTTCACCAGACGTTCCCAACAGCAATAGCTCAGTTGGTAAAGTAGTCGCCAGGACAAACCCCAGAGGGCTTTCCGGTCCACCTCGGATGTTGAGTTCGCCTTAGGCCGCAGGTACGATTCTTTTTTGTTAAATTTTTATGCTGCCAGTTCGAGTTGGACTGTTGTTGCTATTTTTTCTTTCCTTTTTCTATTTTCTTTTGTCGCTCAACTCTCTCCTCTCACCCGCTTCCCTTCGAGGTGCTTAGTAGAGGCACTTTACTTCGAGGTATATGCCTAACACACATCCTGAAGTTGTTTAAACAAATACTACTCATTATATCAACAATGGTCTACGAAAGGTCACTTGGCCCTCCCTTGGCGCTTTGCCCAACCTAATCATCACTATGCCCCTACCCCAAACCTAAACGAGGGTTGAACCCCATACGTCCACAAGGATTGCGCAACTGCCTATATCCCCTAATGGCACTACACCTGCCTGCCTTTTTCCTCACAGTGTTCTTGCCCTGGCTCTCAAATATACCCTGTTCAACTCGTGGCTCGTCTGGCACAAAGTTGTGAATGTTGGAAATATCCAGACTACACGCCTCGATGTACCTATTAATTTTAAGACACTTGTACACTTTTTCGGCTAAGGCCATTATTTGAAGAATACACCTGCTACTCCGGGTTCTTGCTCGCGGATGGAACCTTGCAGCATAATTTCTCGAGCCTTCTAGTATCGGTGAGGGTTACAGCTTGAATTGTATGCTACTACTTTCCAGCGGCGTCTCTTGCAAGTAGCTGGCTGTTTCTCGACTCTCAGTATAATAAGTGCAGTACTAATAAGAAATCCCGAGATGAGCGTAGAAGAAAAGTTAATGGACCTCGCGGCCGTGACCTCCTACCTCAAGGTATCGAGCATCAAGTTGGCTAACGAAAACGCATTCTTGAGTGATATATCGGGTTGTCAGCCCCTTCTAAAAAGCTCCTTGTCTCCCCCATCTTCCTCTGGCCATACCCCCCCTCCGAACAACAAAGGGGATGAAGTAACGCCCTACACACGAGGTACTTCTCTGTTCATCTGACCCTCGTTAATACAACGAATGCTGTTCAACTTAAGCAATCTACAACCCACCACATATCCCGATCTTGACCTCAACCTAGCCTAAAACCCATCTACTCGCGAGAGCTAACATCACCTCTTCCCAAAACCAGAACAGACCCCGGGAAGTCGCTCTCAGCGGAGTTTTACCTAGCTATGGAGCGACAGGAGATATCCAATCTGGTCGGTTAGCTCAGTTGGTTAGAGCGTCGTACTAGTAGTATATATAATTATCAATGATATATATATATAACATTAGTGAATGTGAAGGTCATGAGTTCGACCCTCATACTGACCAACCATGTTCATGCCTGACAATCTAAGTTGTCGGGCTAAATAATTTTTAACCCATTTTCTTCTTCTTTCAACGCTCAGTTTAGCATAGCCGATTAATGAATAGCATTTGTATGAAACTAAGGACTACTTATCAATGAACTAGCTAATATTTAGCGGAAAAACCTGGCGCTTCATAGGCTCAGATGCCGTCTCTAGTTATGTCGGACATCGCTGCATTATCGCCAGCTTCTCTGACCCGCCCCGGAGGGTTATTCATAGGGCCTGCTGCTCCGGTACATGATTTCATTTGTGGTGATTGACCGGGGTTGATTCGGCGTCCGGGCTCAAGACAAGTCATGTCCCTAGGGGGTTTATCTTCTCTACTCTGTCAGTCTAGAAGTCAAAGAACTCGCCATTGAGGACGTTTACAGGTACTAAAGTTGATGTCAGGTCACAGAGGCGTTGTTGGAGAGAGAGCTTGCACATTTGCTGTCGTTTGTCAACTGCGTTGTCGTTTCTAATGTCGTGACATCTGATGATAGGGATGGGGGCTCTTGTTCCTGACTGTCTATACCACAGGACCTGTGGAGAGGTAGGTGTGTAACAGAAACGTTGGGCGCAAGGTATTCATATATACGTATACTATCTTTCAGTCTGTCTTTAACAACGCGTTCTTTTGCGGGTATGTTTCAGATGTAAAGACAGATGGAATCAGACACTATCTATCCATTCATACAAACAGAAAGCATCGGCTCGACCACTATATACCCTCGAAAGATCCAGCAGGCAGAGCCTAATGTGCGTCCGTTTTGTTCAGCCCTCATGATCATGGATATATTGACAGTGAGGATGGAAAAAGCGGCTGCGATCGATTTACTCTTGCCTTGTATCCTAACTACCACTGGAAGAAGCTAGTAGGTTATTAGATTGCAAGAGATAGATAGGTCATTGCGAGGGAAGAAATTCATGCGCTGCGTTGGGGATAATATGATGTCGCAAATCTGAATGGTCTGATGTGGTAGAGAGCGTTTCGAGCTCACGTGGCATTTTGACTACCTTGACTTGCCTAGCACACGTTCTACCGTCGACTTCGGTAAGCAGTATACCGGGTCAATGTCATCTAGACCAGGATAACCCAAGAGGCTTAAGCCTGTAAGACCAAAGCAGGTATGCCAGACATCGACCATATTATCGGGTCGGTCTGAGATACCGCCAAGCTCTGTGTCTTGACACCGGAGGATGAATGCTACGAGTTTCTCCCGATCTATCCAATGTGTTCGACCAATCATCGAGAGACTGCTCAGTACCCACCAGCTGTAGCAGACGTCTTCTTTTTTCTCTGGTCGGCCATTCAAGCCACCGTTCGGGAGTTGTCGTTCGCTCAACCACCCTGCCAATTTATCTACGTCAATCAAATCTTGCCGCTTGGCTATAGTAAGCGCAGCTACGCAAGTGAAGATCTGTCCAGAGTGTGACTCATCCCCTGGATTAACGCCATAGCCCCCGTCGAAGTTCGCGCAGGCAGCGACATGTTTCACAGCCTTGTCGATGTCGACGAGGTGCAGCATATCAAGAAGGGAGAGGGCGTTCAGAGCACCGTAGAGGAAGCGGGTATCTTCTTCTCCCCATTCGTCGCCAGCGAAGGTGCCTTTTTCTCGATCCTGAAGACCTGCCATGACTGACCAGAGGATTAGCCTTGTGGGTGTGTGGAAAAAGACTAGGCAAGGCCGGTTGACTCACATTGCGCAACCTTCAACTTGCCCGTGCCACGCTTCTCGAGCTCATCAAAGGCATCAACTAGGGCGAGAATTTGCACGGCGCTGACGGTATAGAGCATGTGAGCATCATGTCCGGGCGCAGCGCCAAACCCTCCACTTTCATGCTGGCATGATAACACGAAGTCGATCGTTTCGTCTCGAGGAAGCGCGTCGGGATGTCGGAGTAAGTGTAGCGCAGTCAGTCCCCAGTAGAGTCCGTTCAGACGCAGGTGTTCGGTCAGCCAGTAATCGTACTCGTCCTTTCTCGTATCTAAACTCTGAATGTATTTGACATGCACAGCAGTGGCAAGCTGGAGCTCCTCTGGTAACTGTTGCAAGTCTGTCATTATTGGAAATGAACAGTGACTCAAACCGGGGACTTTCTGTGGATTTTTTTTTTTGCTTAAGACTGAAGCCTCGAGGACATGCTAATGGTATTGAGAATGTGATCAGCAGGCAACCATTGACTGTAAGAGGTGGGGATGCAGGTGCATGTGGAGGGGATTACAGAGAATGAATTGTACATATTTTTGTGACGGCCTTTAGCAGCTGTCATCTGCTGTTAGTTAAGTCGGGTCCACGTCTGTTGCCTCCAGTGGAGCAGTTCATCCACTGTTGCCTGCTTTCCAGGTTGCCTACCTGCCTGCCTGGGAAGGTAAGAGAAAATACCAAGGTAGTTAGGTAGGTATATAAACAGCTATCCTACTGCCTTTGACCTTCGTCGTTCTTTTTTCTTTTCTTCTCAGCTCTCTTTGCCATGTGGCTTAGATCAAGTGTAGTATGTTCCCCTATCTGTGTGGCACTTTGGGCATCTTGCTAACTTGCTCACAGGTATCTGTTCTTTTCAGCTTAATCTCTGAAAGAGTCACATTGTGACCCAACTTTGATTATTCTTATTTTTGCTCTCCGGGGCTGGTCCTCTGTGCTCGTGCAAGGTCGGCACCCATTGTGTCTCTGGTATTACACTGCTTCCAGAAGACGCGAACTGAGACTTGTATGTCTTTTGGATTTTCATTGCACTCTGAGCCTCGCGCTGGGATGCGAAGAAATCTCGTTTGCATTGTATTGTGCGCTTACAATGTTTTTGTTTGATACGAGGCCGTGTGACGACACTAGGTTGGGACGAGGGCAGAGTGGGCGGAAAACCTTAATGAATCGTGATTATGACGAATCTATAGAGCAAGGGCAGATACTTCCCTAGATCGGTTGCCTCCCTGTCTTGTTTTTATCTCATTTTTGACGTTTCATTACTATACCGGGCCGTTCCGTACCAAGATATCCAAATTAATAGATATAAAATTTTATTATATTGTCGAAACTGACGGAAAGCACGCGCTGTCTACTTCATAGTTATACTGTTAGTAGTCTGGGCACATCTGATTGCAGAGTAAAATCTATTATTATTCACAGCAATATGGCTTATAATAGTATTTTTCCGACTATTGAAGCTGTCGCTGAAAGGCCTTGCGTCACATGGGTAGTGGGATTGACTCGGAACCCTCGACTGTGTTGATCTGGCTCATCCACTGCACCCCATGATGTCGGCAGATCATTGATGACTGCAGCTCAACGTCAGCCTGCTTCTGTTCTATGGCCGGGAGCGCGGTCGCTGCGTCATTGTCGGTCAGATCTTGAGACGCCAAGGACGATTTGAATCCGAGTCTTTCGTTTGGTCGCAATGCTGCTAAAGAAAGCTGGTATAATTAGAGACTAGACTCCTATATATACCATTGAAAAGTGGTTGTTGCAAAGCGTTATATAGTTTTGAGGATGAGGTAGCAGCCTCCAAACCAATGTGTATGAAATTGAAGGTTCATGCCACTTTGCACAGCTTCAGTTTGTTTTATCAATCTTCTCGGAGTCATGCACGGCGTCTCGAATGTTTCCCCATTCGGCGACCCGCATGTGACGTCCTATAATGCTGTAATACAGAATATCAAACCAACAGACGTTTTCTTATAAATAAATATAGTATTTTGTAAAAGCACATCAGCTTTCGCAAGGTTCTAACAATACACTTGCATGTCAGGGTACACTATACAACTTCATCCGGTTGCGTTGCCTGTGTGGCGGCGTGGCCTAGATACTTTCCATTATCAGTGATGATGGAATTGACTTGGTGCTGTAGCGCGCGGCAGAGTTGCTCAGCATGTTTCAGAATTTGAGCCGTTTTCTTTTGTCTCGACCGGAGAATCCCTGTTGGTGCCCTGCCAAGACTGTTCGTTAATAACCAAGCCTCCACACCCCCCTGTCGACAAGTCCCCCTTCTTCGTTCTGCTTCCGTCATCAATATGCCAAACGGTGGATGCAGCAAATGCTTGGCACCACAGCACCATAGCAGACACTAAAGATGAACATCTCTCGAACCTCTTTACGCGCTTATTGTCATGTATTTACAAAGTATCAAGCTACTGAGGAAGAATGCCACCGGAAAATGTTCCTGGCAAAAGAATGAGACTCGTTGGTCAAGCTCCAACTCTTGAAGAACGTAACGCATTCTGGATGAATGTACTTACAGTATTAACTTTTGTGGGCTGTCGCCCCAAGGACGTACCTGGTCTTATGTATACCTACTAGATTTTGGACTTGAAAGGTATCGTTTCAATATACTCGAGTCCTTGTCTGCTTTCTTTCGAATTGCTCTCCGCTCATACTTTGAGGAGCTTGGAACTTGGATATACGGTAGACGCTACTTGTCTTGAACCGCATGTATGTACTATCAAGGCGTGTATATATCCATCCACGTGCATGTCTAGATGAAGCGAAAATGGGGTGACAAATTTCAACCAACAACAGTCTTAGCTTAAAGAGAGGCAGAAATTCAAAGATTCAAGTATTTTGGTGAACCGGCAACCCCTTACTATTCGCTCTTTGTCTGATATAGATATTTCTGATGCCTTGAATGGTAGATGATAAATATCAGAAACTCTTGCGGTCTGATCCCATACCCAGTAAATGTTCTTCTCAATCCGAAGACTCTCCTCGCGGTTTTTTCCTCCAAATTCTTCGTGTTCAATATAAAAAAAAGGAGGATCTCCAACCCAGATTGGAAGGTACCTTAACTACTTTATTTCCTATCTAGGATGAAACGCATTGGAACCAGAACACGCGTATGTTTTACCTACCTACTTATACCTAGCTTGTAGGTAGGTACCTGATCCTCTTGGGGCCTGACTACCGGGTGATGCAACTAACTAACCTAAGAACGAAGCCCTTACGGTTCTTAATAGTACCTAGACTAGCAGATACGGCCTGCAGCAGCAAC